AAAATATTATAAGATTTTAATATTTACTCGTTCTTTAACTTAAAACTGGGGCTAGGAAACTAGTTAGAGTATGTACGCTATCTCACAGTTTTCCAACATGGGAACCCTTAATTTGCTGCTTCTTCTCTTCAAATTCAACTGATGTAAATTCTATGTATTCTACCTTAGTACCAAACAAATCCTTGTTCTGTGTTCCAAATACCATTACCTCTGCTCAAGTCTTCATTTAGGACCAAGTAGGTTTGTAATTTAGGCACTTAACTAATTTCCTTCTCTCTTTTTTGAGCTGTCTAGTTCATCTTTTGAAGAACCAGCATCTTTCTAAAATTGAATAGAAATTAACTCCATGTTAAAATATTCAGTACATTGCCATGAACTTCCTATAGAAATCCAAATACCTTCACATTGGATACAAAGCCTTCATAATATGAAACCCACTTCTGCATAATCTTTTCAAGGATTTTCCATGAAAGCAGAGTGCCTAGCAAGTGTTGATCATCCTCAAACTACTTCCAATCTCTTGTCTAGTTCTGTGTTCTCCTACACTGTGCAGTGACAATGACTGTTTATGGACAAGTGAGATCATGTCAATTTCATTTTTTAGCATGAAGTGAATAAAACAGTCATTTTGATCTAGAGCCCAATGTTTATATCAAGGTCCAATGTTTGTCATCTTCCAAATACAGAATAGCAACTCCTATTAGAAAGGTGGCAGATATGAAATGTACCATATTAGAAATGTACCTATTAGAAATGTACCATATTGGTCAACTTTTTAGATTTCTAAAACAGTTGTCATCGTGTGTGTGTGTGTGTGTGTGTGTGTGTGTGTGTGTGTGTGTGTGTTTATATGCTCATGTGTGTGTGTTCTTTGTACAGGAGCATGTTGAAGAAGGAAGAGCCAGTCTCTACAAGTCTGTGGTGTCCAACAGCAGCAAAGAGATGTCTTGCTACTCAGATTTTCCATTCCCAGAAGATTATCCAAACTTTGTGCCCAATGATCTGTTCTTAGAATATCTCAGACTGTATGCAAAGCAGTTCAACCTTCTGAAATGCATCCAATTCAAGGTAAGACACAAAACATCTATTAGTAGTTAGGAAGTATTTGGCTATTTTCTATTCTCTATGTATAGCATAACCCCCAGGTTCAGCAGATGCCATGATGAGCTGGCAAGATTAAGGACACCTTTTCCAGAGGACAGATTGCTAATATAATGTATATATCCAATAGGCTTTTTAAATACTATAAGCCAAACAGTAAACTCATTAGAAGAGACTTGAAAACACCATATTTAAAAATTTTTTTAAAAAAACTTTGGAAAGAATTTTAAAAGGCAATAATGTCTTATTAGTGAATAACTTTTTTTTTTTGAGTTGGGGAATCAAACTCAGGACCTTATACTTGCCAGGCAGGCACTTAAGCTGCTGAGCTATCTCCCTGGCTAACTCCTTCTTTTAAATCTGATTTATATTAGATTTACTATAAGTATAATTCCTGGAGCCAGAGTTGAGCCACTTGCCTAGAATGCATAAGGCTCTGGGTTCAATCTGTTATCACAAAAGTAATAATTTCCTATATCAGAGCCTAGTAGTTATGGACATATATGAATTCAATGAGAACCAAAAGTAAATTTTTTTAAACTTTGGACCATTCCCAAAATATTCAGTTCATAAAGTCAGAATTTTTCAACAGCTCTTTAGATATCAGAAAATTTCAGTAGCATATTCCATAAGACCTTTCATAAACTATTTGGTACCAATTTTATATTTGCAATTATAATCCATGTCTCTATTAAAGGGACTATTGTTAAAGAGAAAACTCCATGTGAAATAAGGTCCATAACAGAAATGCTTCAGAATTCTAGATTATGATCTTGATTCTATCTCTTGCTGTGCGAATTCAAGCAAATAAATTAAGATCATAGAATTTCTACCACTTCTCTAAGATGTCCTTTCAAACTCTAGGTTTAGAATAATTACATTCAAGAAAAACAGTCATCAGGCCAATAGCCTGATTAGGATTCTAGGGTTCTACTTATTAATTATGTTCAGATCACACTCTAGAACTTTTGAAATGCTAATTGGTATGTCTGACAGCAAACCCTTAGTGGAACCAACTGCCAGTTACATCTGTGATTCTTTTTCAGACTAAAGTCTGCAGTGTAACAAAGCGCCCAGATTTTGATGTCACTGGCCAGTGGGAAGTGGTCACTCTGCATGAAGGAAAGCAAAACTCAGCCATCTTTGATGCTGTCATGGTTTGCACTGGTTTTCTCACTAACCCGCATTTGCCACTGAGTTCCTTCCCAGGTACGGCATTTCCTACAAATGAATTTCAATTTTCTTACGCAATTCATCCTGATATTTGACTGATCTGGGGAAGAACTCTTGTCATTCCTTTATTAAACGGCTAACTTTTTAGATGACTTTTTTTTCTAGACAGGACTGTTTTCACCCAGCCAGTTTTTGTGGCTTTCAAAAAACAGAAGAAAATAATGGATAACTTGTTAAATGGACTTACGCTTCACTCAAGTCCCGTCTCCCTCCTTAATGAAAAACAGCACTCAGAATGTCTTCTGAGATATGGGACATTTAAACAAGGTGCTTGCGTAACAGCAGCAGCACATTGCCAAAGTTGATCTTAGAGACCACAAAGGTCAATCTGTGCAGAAAGAAAGAAGTAGCTTGAGTTTTTATTTGTTTGCTTTATATGGGCCATAACAATTAACTAGATCGGGGTTCGTGGCTCTGTATCAATAGCCAACAGGGCAATGAAGCTTGGAGGACAAATTCATATATCTTTGGGTTTCCGTTTCTTTACCCGAGTTTTGCAACCATGACTCTTAACTAATGTTGAATTTCAATTGGATTTCCACTTAAGGGAATAGAAAATCCAGTGTTTACCCTATTTCACCTATAATAAACATTCAAAGAAGGGCTGGCCAAATAGTTCAGCAGATTAAAGCGCCTGCTTAGACAGACACAGGGGCTGGGAGTTTGATTCCTGGGCCTGCTGTGCCAGCCCCGCCCCTGGGGTGTGGAGACAGAGATTGAGACTAAGTGTGGTGGCACACTCCTGTAATCCCAGCACTTGAGAAGCTGTAAATAAGAGAATCACTATGCGTCCAACTTATGCAGTGAGACCCTGTAGACACTGTTGTCCCTGTCATAAATACAAAAATAAAATAAACAAACATTCAAAGAGTTTGAGGAAACTACTTTTTTCCAAATTATCTAGACATAGTCTGCAGTGATCCCAAAATTCATATGACAATAAATTCATGCTCCTCCCATAATCCTGGATCTACGCCAGAGGTCAGTTAAATCAGGTCAGAGTAGGATAAAGTTTGCCCTCATAACTGTCATAGAATCAATGAGTGGGAAAGACATGTGCTTAAATTCTCCCTAATGCAGAAAGCTGTTCTCAGTCATCCCGACAGAGACTCAAAAGCCTCTGCTTGCACACGCAAAGATGGGCTCTTGTTAGCCCACACAACAGGGTGTCTGAGCTCCTGCCTGCAGAGCAAAGCCCTGAGTGGCCAACCTCTCCGTTCTCTCAGGAAGAAGGATAGCCCAAATATCCAGGACGTTCCATGGAAGAGTGAAATTGAAATTATTCAGTACCTACAGTGTGCGACACTAGGGACTAAGAAAACAGAAGTGGATATGACAGCCTGCACTGAGAGGAGTCCAGAGAAGAACCAGTCTTCAGATGACCTTCAGGAATACCAACACCCATGTTCAATAAATTCATGCCTATGATGGTCCCAGATGTGCCCCAAGTCATGTCAAGTTAGGATAAAGCAGACCCAGAAAAATACTCAACCAGTGTATTCAATTTAAATGGAATGACATTGCGATTGAGAAGGTTTACAACTGAGGTACACAACCAAGCAGTCTGTGTTCGTCACCCTCCCCTTTCACATTGCTGAATCTCTTTTTTCTACTGTAAACTGATGAGCTTGCATAACTTTACCTAGTGCTGTTCATCCGGAATCAAGCGCAGGAGGCTCTGCCAGACTCGCCATCCTTCTTTACCTTCTTTACTTTCCATTTTACCAGGCTCTTCCAATCTTAAATCCCTGACTAAACAATCATCCGTGACTCCTGGAGCTCTAAGCATCTGCGATTCTAGACTAGAAATGGAGTCCTCGAGGCCAATCCTGCCATCTCTCCCTGCCCTCTAGGAGACTCACTTAGAACATACACACTCCTTGGGGCATTAACAGTGACAGAAGTTCATATTCACTCAAGATACAAAAAACAAGCTTGAAAAGTTCTGAAAGCAAATCCAAAGTGAACCCAAAAGTTTCAGTAAAAAAGTAGAAACCACA